TTACTTTCAAAAGGGACAAAATCTCACCTCTGTCTCGTTTTAATGTCGTATATTAAGTTAATTCCCCGGTTGTAACTTATCGTACATTGGTAAAACTGAGAGATGCCATAAAACCCGACTTCATGACCATGCCACACAACATGAAACAAACGTTATTGCACAGCACTTCTTAGAAAGCCAAGAGCACAGAACATTACATATCACAACAACAGCACACTTAATTAAATAACACTTTTAGAAAAACGTAATTCAAACATTACTGAACTCGTACTTAACAACTACAAAATACTTTGCTCGATTACTAACTTAAGCAGGAACAGACTTTTACTAATGGAAGCACTCTTTATTAAATTGCACCAAATAGAACTTAATAATGGGGTTAAAACCAGCAAAGAGCTGTCACTATTTGATTTCACTTCCTAACAATCAACTAATCCCTTCCATTCAGCACACCTTTCCGTACTCCCGTTGAAATAATTTAACGCACATATAAGTAGAGCTTTTGTTGGGTTGTAAATATATTCCAATGTTGAATTTGTAACAAATTCGAAATATGACTTTTTAATTAAAAATTTCTTGTTTCTTTTTCAAATATTGAGTTAAAAACGAGTCTTTATTTGGAGTATGCTTCATATTATGCTACCCAATCTTAAAGCGTAATTAACTTTCATCACTGACCATTTTATCTAATGCTTACATTGTATTACTTTCAGTTTCAAAGTTACATAGCAGTACAAGGGATGATGTAATGGAAGAGGTAATTATTTTGAAAATGATTTATCAATATAGACTGCTTTCGTAAGTTCAGAAATATAACAAGATGTAGCCAAATTTTTTTTACATTTTCCAGTTTAATTTCTGCAATGTTGTACGTCTTGATAAATTTGTATATGCAATCTCTACGACATCACACACATTATTAGTGTTTTCTGTTGGTCGCATTTTGTCGGGAAATTTTGTAAAATAACTTAAAAGCTCTGCTGTTTGAATTTGAAATTAGCAAGGAGCTTGAGAATTTAACAGTTTTACATATGTTGCGGCTATTGCCTGTGATAAATCACCATTGAGTGTCTGGACACAGCAAATGATGTTAAAAATTCATTGTAATCGATTGAACAAGGAGGATTTGGTTTCTTTTGTAAACAAGTTCTGTGGTTTTGGTTTTCCACGTCTAGAATTGTTCTATAAACACAAAAAAATCAAACGAATTAACTCAATGACTGAAGTTATATTTTACTGGTTTATGTTTGATATTGCCTGTTATAAAGTAAATGGTTTGAACCATGGAGTATCTGCATTACATGCAGACGAGATTGATGACTTTCACACTCACATCAACAAACCGAACAGGCACATACAATTTACAAAAGATGTCGAAGAACACGGAACTCTTCCTTTTCTCGATTCTGGTAAAACAAGACAATCAGAAACTACGAAGAACAGTTTATCGCGCGCCAACACATACTGACTGACTACTAGACCAATCATCTTACAACCCTACATCACACAAACTCACCACAATCAGAACATTAACAAGACGTGAACAAATCATATGTGATTCACCGGGCGTTCTACGCGTTTCTGACAAAACAACTACAACTCTGACTTTATCAAACGCAACACTTACAAACCCAACGAACTCAACGAAACGAGCAACTCAGTGACAACAGCAACGATACCTTACGTCAAAGGAATGTTTGAGACTATCTTGAGTATCTTACGACCATACAACATACGTGTCGCGCATAAACCAGTCACAACGTTACGACAAGTACGAACGAACATAAAGGACAAAGAACAACCCAACGAACGACAAGGTGCAGTTTACAAAATAAACTGCTCCTACTGCCAAACCTCCTACATCGGGAAAACTGGCAGGAGCTTAAACATAAGACTTACTGAACACAAACGAGCTGTTAAGAAACAAGACAAAACTAATCACATTGCCGAACATCACCGAATCACAAAGCACAACATTGAATGATTTTGTTAAAGCGAGGATAGATGATAATTTTTTTAAAATCATTTCTAAAAAAATGATTTGCGTATACAGTGCATTTTCACATAAGTTAAGAAAGTCATCCCCCCGTCATAGACCTTATTCCTTCTTTCGGGGAATTTATGTCGCCAAACTCGTAGTATTGTAAAAATTTTATTTTAATAATTTTCTTCATTTTTACGTAACAGGGAACCAATTTTGAGGTGCTCGATATGAGCGAAACATTTTGTGAATACGGTAAGTATAGCAGAAATGTTTACTTTATAGTTTTATATAAGGAAGTGTTGTTGGAGAGTAAGACTAGGCCATTTCTAGTATGTGCTAATTAAAGTCTTACTGTTTTTTTCTATTTCATTTGAACATCTGTTGTAATAAATTAAAATATGATAACATATTCCCTCATAAACTGTCTAAATCAAGTGTGATTTGAATGTACATTTATCTTTATTCTCGAGTCAACATTTCTGAATTATTTGTATATTTTTTCAGTGTTTTAGCTAACCAAGAAATTTTATCCTGCAATATAAATTGTTTTGTGTTCACTCGTTGCAATAGGAACAATGTACTAAACAATCAAAGAAATAAAAATATTCTAAAATTTACATAGCACTACGACAGTACTAAAACTTGCCAGACTGACAAGGCCACAGCTATTTCTTGCTCATGCTTAGCGACTTTAAAGATTGAAAGTAATCAAGTTTTGTGAAAAAATAAAAATCTAGAGTGCTCTACAAGCATTTAATCATTCTATGTTAATGCTGACTTTTAATCCATCAGGATTCATTGTTTTATGCATTATGTGACTAAAATATTTTATTTAGGGCCCATTCACACAAACACTTTAAATCGATTCGAAATCAATTCGAGTCCGTATAAGGGCTAAAGTGAACACTTGTAAGTGATGCGGAAACGAAGTCGGTCCGAAGTATCTTGGGCCACTTAAGAAGGTGGTTTCCAGTCGTATTAGTTTAGTTTCCATGATAATGTGAACATGCAACACGAAAAGAATCGGATCAATCTTGATCAATTACGTGTTTTTAGCTTTGTGACCAAACTTTTCATGCGATCACACATATCACGTGATTCTTTCTGCTGTGTTTGCTTGCAGCAATATTTCAAAAAGTAACGCGATGAGACGCTTTGCACTCTTTTGTAAGTATTGCAGCATTTTTTGTATTATACTAAATCTTTTCGCTGATTTTTTACGTTTTTTTGGTATTCCCGTAAAAGTATGCCCATTGCAGTAAACTCTGCCATTTGTTTTCGTTAAATATCGTTATTATCAAAGATTCAAAGATGGTCTAGGAAAGGCGCCAAATTAAATGTCGATCATGTGAAGCAAATGCAAATAGTAATTTTATAAAAAATATAGATGCTAAAGTATGTACCAACAATACCCTATAATTTGACTAAAATACCTGCTAATTAATATCTATCCTATTGAGTTTCTTATGATACTATGTTATCAAGCGAAAAATAATGCGGATAAAACTTTAACTGTGAACACTTGTGTTTTTTCCTTTTAAAAAGAATCGAATTCGAAACAACTAATTTGAGTAGCAAACTAATTAAGTGCGAATTACCATTAGTCCTAGGATGAGGGTTACTTAAAAAAAATTTTTTGTATATATCATTGAACTAAAGTACATGGAACGCAACCTCAAGCAAATAATTAAAGACATATCTTACGCCAGACACGCGTGTTTTGTGTTTCGAGATTCTCTCTCGGAGTATTACATGATTGACTACAAACGCGTGTCTGGGGTAAAATCACGGCTTAAAAAAATTATAATGGTTTTGTATTACAGGTAGTGCTTCCTGTATTTTAGTTCAATGGGATATATTAATGTTGTTACCAGGTTTTTGTGATATTTTTTACATGTTTAAATTATTATATTGTGTAACCAACATTTAAATTTTTGCGACAAATATTTGAATAAGGCAAATTACGGTAATCATATGTAGTTCACAACAATTTTGATTAATGTGGCAAATTAACAAAGATCATTCAATAAGAATAATAGTTTAACTAAGAATTAGTGTACTGTCCTAGTTAAATGCTAGTCAAATAAAAGGACTTCATGCAGCAAAGCCCTGGAATGTGTCACACGAACGTATGATTAATAGAGACATTGTTATGTATAGTAATATAAAAAATGTCGTGTGATGTTCTGATTTAACAAGTTACTCTTTGTTACCTAATCTTAAAAAAAATCATTGACTATTTTGTTCAATGCGTATAACATATTACTTTCAATCATAATTCAGGAGAAATCATTAAAGTGAGAAGATATGAAGAGGAGGTAATTTTTCTATTACTGATTTATCAAAGCAGCCTGCTTTCTGTAGTAGTGAAATTTAAGACGATTTAATTTTTCAATCGCTCAATTTAACTTTTGCGATAATGTAGGTCTTGTTATGATTTAATTTATATACGTATATATATCACAAATCTTTTCCATGTTGGTATACGAATCAGTCATTTTCTTTCATAAACTGATATAAAAGTTTCATGTATAATATCATCATAAACTTTGTATGTTGTTGCAAAAAGAAAACATTCCACTATATGATAAAAGCAAAAAATGTAGAACTTTTACACACAGATCTGTTTATAAAATAATAAGTGGAAAATATTTGCAAAAAGTGTAATGAAATTATTATTGTACGCGTAATTTACTATATCTTTACATGATCAACAAAAAATCGTTCGTGCAATAAATAATGTTTTAATTTTTTGTTTGTTCATAACTTATCTTGCAAGACCGAATGCAGCGTTTTTGTATCTACTAATTTTCTTATTATTGAAGTTAAACGAGCATAGTTTTAAGTATTATTGCACAAATTGATGCATTAATTATTTTTATATTTTTTACGTAACAAGCCACAAATAATATGCGCCATGTGATGGACATGGACATGACGAATTGTGATGGTAAAAAATCTATTTTAATCATTTTCTCCATTTTTCCTGCAGGCTACAAATAATAAAACGGTCGATATGATCGAAACATTTTGTGAATACGGTAAGTATAGCAAACATGTTCACTTTATAGTTGTAATAAGCAAGCTGTATTGTAGAGTATTTTATTTATATTTAACATTAAAGTGATGTCATGTTTTCAACGATTAGCTCGTTTCTAGTAATGTGCTATAGTTTTACCGTTTTTTTCCATATAAGTTAATCACTCGTTGTAATGAATTCGAATACATTGATATATTCCGTCTTAAAATCTCTTATCAATTGTAATTTTTGAATATACATTTATGTTAACTCTCATGACTACGTCTCTGAGTTATTTGTATTGTTTTTAGTGTTGTAGCCATTGATCTGATAATAGACTTTATATAGCTTCTATATGTACCAAAAGTAAAGCCTAATTATATATGCGGAATTCGTTTCTGTTTACCCATTTGAGATACAATTACTATAGAAATATATGGCTGATAACGTTTACAAACAAATATTTTAAAATATTCAAGACATTTCGCGACCTTGTTCTTATGTCAAATATACGTCATAGATGAAACAAATTATGTAAATCAATTTGACATCAAAATATTCCCGATATGTGAAAAATACCGGCCTTCGTATTCATTTGAAAATTGCTCGTCCAGGAAGACATGAATGTGACCCCTCGTTGCCAAGATAAGACAATTCACAGCTAGGTTGCTAAGTTCAGAGGCAGTAATGATCTAGAGTAATATTCAATGCTTAAAATAATATTTATATTATTCATACACAGACATAAAATTGTCTGTGTATGAGTGCTCATTGCGGATGTTTTTTAACAATCAGTAATTCAATAACCGAGGAATAATCATTTTCATGTTATTCTTCGGTTGTAATGTGCCCTGTATTTTAGATTTGGAAGAAATGCGAGATAAGTTAGATAAACTTGAAGTAACCATTGAATCGACGTCACAAGAAAAGGTCCCTTTTTTTATTTTTATTTCGTTATTTTTGTATGATTCCCATTAAACGTCTTGTTTTTGTTAAAGGACGAAGTATATGAAGAGATGGAAAAACTAAAAATTGAATTAGAACGTGAGACTGCAGAGAAGAATGAGGCATATAAAAGAATACAGGAGCTTGACGGCAAAGTTAACAGTGCTGCCATTCTTGTAAAGCAATTGTTAATGTTTTATGATGTCATATTTTTGTTTCATGGGGAGATTTTTTTATTTCCTAACTTGAAGCTCACAAAAAAGTCTTGGAAAAACTTAAAGAGATCGTCGAAAAATCTGGTGGGAAGATTCCTGAAGACTGTAATGTTGAGCATTTTGTCAAGAATAGTACAGGTGCCCCACCGGAAATTCCTAATCTTGAAGCACATGCTGGTCCGCCTCCCCTTTCTCCGTTAGCTGGATTACTTACTCCTGGAGTACAATCACCTCCTAGCGTACCATCACCACCACCACCTTTATCAGGAGTGCCACCATCACCTCCACCTTTTGGGGGTGCAATACCAGGTGACATTTTTCTTTGCGTAAAATAATTTTGATTATTGTGATGTTCTGAACTGAAAGTCTATATTTGCTCTCTCTTGTTTTTCAAGGTCCACTACCTCCCCTTGGACCCCCAGGTGCCCCTGGCCTACCAGACGCATTACAGGGAAAAGGAAAGAGAAATGTACCAAAGCCTTCGCAACCTTTGAAATCATTTAATTGGTCAAAACTGCCTGATGTAAGTGAAGTGTTATGTTAGGCATTGACATTGTCAGCGATGTCATTCAGTGACAATGTATATTGCCATGCATGTCTCTTTATGTACAAAATTTTCATTTCTAGACCAAAATAAAAGGAACAGTTTGGACGGTAATCGACGACTCGAAGGTACGGATTTTTTGTTCAGTTTCGAATGTTTTTCAAAGCAATACTTTCTTGAAGGTTTTTCATTCAATTTATTTAATTTTTGCTTGATCAGATTCATGAAATCATGGATTTTAACGACTTTGATCGCATGTTCTCGGCATATCAAAAATCCAAGAATGACCAGGTACATCTTGTGTTCGTTTTACACTTTCTTCAACGGTCTATATCCTTTGTTAAGAGCAATTGTGATTGTTTATTTCAGAAAGACGGTGGTGCAGAAGCTTGTGTGGCTGCGGAACAAAGGCAAGAATTGTCCTTCATAGATAGTAGGAAAGCCCAGGTTCGGTGATGCTATCAAATGTGTTGAGTTGAGAAGTTGTTTTTGCAATCAAATTTGCACCGAGATCTTGTTTTTGTTTAGAACTGTCAAATTTTGTTATCAAAACTGAAAACTTCCAACAAACAGTTATCGCGAGCTGTTCTCACCATGGATAAAGATGGCGAATTATCTGTAGAAATGCTTGAACAGGTAAAATTTCACTTCGACTTCTTACATGGGAATTAAACATTTTTAGTAACGAATCTATCTTCATCCTCTTTGTTTAGCTCTTAAAGCTCGTACCCACTATCCAAGAAAAAAATCTGCTTAATGATCATAGTAAGGAGAAAGAACAGTTTGCCAAAGCAGACAGATTTTTATACGAAATGTCCAAGTATGTTGTATATGTAAAGTGACTGCTTTAATTTCGTGTACCAAAGGTACAAATCTTTATTTTTGCTTTTAGAATCAACCGTTACGAACCACGATTGGCAACTTTGTTTTACGTCAAACGTTTCCCAGAACGAATGGGCGATATAAAAACAAAAGTTAAAGGTAAAATATCATAGATTTTTTGGGAGGAATTCCAATCTCCATACTTACATAAATAATAGCAAACGCAATTAGGATTTGTTTTAGATGCAGCAAACTTTCAAAAAAAATTATCTGCAATTATGAAATAGGAGTAAAATAGTTTAAAAAAATAAATCTGACATGACACGGTGACATCCTCAAAGCGCCTTTTGAAATCTTATCCGAACGATAGCAAGCCCGTGCATTTGTTAAAAAGATGTCACTTTATTGTTTGAAGCAACTGTCTGTTGTACGTGAATACAATACCTTTATTTCAACAGCTGTGATAGAAGCATCTAAGCAAGTGTTCCGCAGCAGAAAATTCCGTGATTTACTGGAAGTTGTATTGGCCTTTGGAAATTATATGAATCGTGGATCAAGAGGAAACGCTACAGGGTTTAAAATTGCCAGTATCAATAAGATCATGGACACAAAATCGAGTTCGAACAGCAAAATTAATCTTTTAGATTACTTGGTCATGCTTTTGGATCAAAAGGTTTGTGTAGAAGAATTTATACTTTAGATTCACTTTAGATTCACTTTAAAAAATTAGTTTTGATTGTCTCGTCTTGGGTTCTTGCAGTTTCCGGCCGTACTGCAGCTTCAGGAAGAAATTGGAGATGTTAAGACAGCTGCTAATGTCAGGTGAGGACAGAATGGGATCATAAATTATGGATTACCATCATTGATAGGAAAGATTGCTTGCTCCAACGACATTTTATTCCAGTCTTGTAGAGTTACAAAAAGACGTAAAGAAATTCAAAACAGAACTCAAAACAGTTGAAAAGGTTTGTAATTTGTCCTTAAAAAAATGTAAATGTCTTTAACTTACAACTGCTCCAATTTTTCTTACAGGAGTATGATTATCATGGTAAAAATAAGGATAAATTATCTGGTGATAATTTCGTTAAAGAAACTGGAACTTTTCTCACAGCTGCACGAGCGTCGTTCAATGAACTTGATGATTCCTTGAAGGAGATGAAAACAAGAGTGAGAATTTTCATTTAGTTTAACCTTCGGCCATGAGAAAGGACACATTAAATATGTTTCTACATTTAGTACGAGAAATCTGTTTCGGCGTTTGGTGAACAACCAAAGACCATTACCTCGAAAAATTTCTTTGGCATTTTTTACACGTTTTTAGTATCTTTTGCCGTAAGTCTCTTTTTGTTGTTTTAGTTCTGTTCAACGCATGCGCAGTAGATATAAAATAACGATAAATTGACAGAACTGAATCTTACTTTCAGGAGGCGAATGAGAATGAAAACGAAAAAAAAGAAACTAGAGGAGGAAAAAAAGCGAAAGATGAAGCTTAGGTTAGAAACAGTGGAAGTGTCCTTTTATACATTGAAGAGGGAGCTATCATAACGATTTCAGGGTAGACATGGGCGTCATTCCTGCAATAATAGGGGGGGACCATATTCATATATTCTGTTGTGCCAGGCTGATTTCTTTTGAAAATGAAATTGTTTTGAAAAGAACTTAGACAAGCATAGCAGAATATAAGAATATGGTCCACCCTTCAATTAAGACAGGATTGACGCCCATGAGGGTGGATGATTTTGTCATGTGTTTTCAAGCTATAGTCTGGCCATAGGTCTGACATACTGTATTCTGTGGCTTACAATAGACGAGTTGGTTTGATTCAATAATTAGGAATGTTAAAGAACAACTTTGAAAACATCACATTTTCATTTCATGTTGGTACACGTTGTGATTGTAAATGCAGATTTGTGCAGTCCTAAAAAAGGACTTGTAATGTTGGTATTAACTTCCGTTTCAATGTCTTAGTGTTAAACATCGCTGGTCATTTTGACTCTGAAAGACTGCACTAACTACACTAACTCTCGCTTGTCTCACTTGTCTCACTTCCGTTCCACTCATGTTTTCTATATTGTTCCTTATCGTCCCCGACGTACTCGAATGTACAAAACCCAGGTTGGCTCAGCAAACTGAGTCATGAATAAATATCTATTTTTGTAATTTAGGACCTTGAGCAAGTTGCCTTAACTTTGTTAAAAACTGAAATGAAATTCATAAAGGTCTGATGCTTATAAATTCAAATATTTAGAGTAATCTCTGCTTTGTTTATCGTAAAATCATTCCCAAAATTCCCAACGTGAAAAAATCATATTAGTGAGTTGCTTCTTTTTTAAGGAACAAATACTATTTATGCCACTTTAGCAGTCTAAGCTTGTTATTAAAATTACATAAAAAAGGCAGTTACAGTATTTTTCACAATGTACTTGCTTATAGTGTATATGTTTGTAAATATTGAGCATTTTCATTTAGATATGTTTACGCAGAACTTTGTTCTTAGGTCTGGAGAGAGTAAATATCGAACAACAACCTCGTTTTTGCTCTAAAAATTGCAAAAATACTGTTTTTCTCCAGATTGTGACTTTGATACCTAAATTAGCGTATTTATGGAAAGCTGTGTATGGTTTGCTTTCATTCAAATACAAAAAGTTACTGGTACCAGTTACATATGAAAGTTATTTGACCGAAAAAATGTGAAAAATCACCGTGTGATTTTTAACATGTGAAAAAACATCTTAAAATCAGTCTTGCAAATAGACAAAGTAAATGTAAGAATTCATTTTGTGTAAAAGATATCGAGCTCAAATCAGCTTGATAAAGGCGCTATTTGATTTATAGATTAATTGTACATTTCATCATTTTATTTTGGCAAAAAAGTTATTCCAATATCTTAGGAAGAAAAGTATGTTCAGACTCTTTTTTATCTCTAATTGTCGGAAATTATGTAAATAAATTATGATTGTTATTTGAGACTAGGAACTTATCGTTAAAGCGGAATAAGGAACTTACGATTATTGAGTATTTTACAAAGGTCAAATTAAGGCGGCATTGTTTTTTGTTGATGCCTGTGAACAAGTAAGGAGCATGATTTGAAATTGATGTATAACTTTGACTAGAAATTTAAATTGATGACATTTGAGAGTTGTTTTTGACTGCGCGCTAGCTTTAGATAGTATACAGTCCCATAGAGAACCGGCGGACGCATAACTGCTTTGTGCTAACGTGCAAAGGAGAAATTTGCTACACCTGTACGTACATCGCTGCTTTTTATCACAGAAACATATTTCGCAATTGTCAGTACAAATTTTAAAAAACTCAGTCTGCAGTTTATTCAGTTGAAAAAATAGTAAATTGGATATGTGTCCAACTTTACGGAATCAAAACTTTGAAATAAACTGTAGAATCCCAAGATAAAGAACAATGAAAAATACATCAATTTATAAAAAAGATATTGCGTTTACTTTTAAGTTGTCATGTCTTTTATGAAAAGAATTTTTGTAAAGGAAAAAGCCACACATTGACAACAAAAAATCCCGTTTTCGGTCCATGCCTCGCGAGACCCCGAGATAATTGAGAACTAGACGTTAATTAAGGGAAATAGATAATTGTTGTTGTCCATAAAGCCCATGGATGGTTTGCTCGTGATACATGAGAAACAGTAAGTATAAAACGTTTAAGGTCTTTTTAACTTAAAAGTGCCTAAAAACGGCACAGTGTCAAAAGAAGTTAATTGAAACGTTGCTTGATTTATTTAGTAAGAAGAACTTTTGTAAACAAAAAGACAAAACTCAAAAGCAAAAAAACCCCGTTTTCGGTCCATGCTTCCCGATACCTTCTTAAGCGTAAGGCACTAGAACGCTGCATGTTAACGTTTCGGTAGAAGATTTCGGCCCCTTCCACGCTATCCTACTTGGGGATGTCAATAACAAGCTTCCGCCCATCAGACCCCGAGATCACCTGCGATAGGCTTTGCTCGGGGTACGCAGGGAGAGTGCGGTCGCGACCCGAAACGTCTGGACCCCTAAGCCACTGCATACATATCGCACCCAGCTTCCACTGCTAGTTGACATATATTAAACATATATTTAGCTTTATATTTATATACATAAATTCAAAGCCTTACGATAGTTGTGGTATTATTGAAGTCACTACTGCGCATGCCCTGACGATTTCTTTAATAATTTGCGACTAAGTGAGCTAAATGCCACAACTTTAGTGCAAGTACATATGGTTAGTCGTTGCCATGACTATAAACAGTTAGTGGAGTGTACTGCGCATGCGCTAAAGCACTGCGGATGATTTCTTTATTAATTTGTTAGTAAGCATGCTATTTACGTCAAAATCGGTGCTAGTTGATGGAGTGTGGATGCAGTTGGTCGTTGCCATGACCATCAACTTGGGCAGTTGGTCAGGTTGAGTGCGCATGCGCAGCTGATTCATCTGAAAATTTGTGACTGAGTGAGCTAATCCTCGATAGTTGGTACTGGTACATACAGTTAGTCGCTGCTATGAACATGAACATGAAGAGTTGGTAGAGTTGACTTGGCATACGCGCAGAAGGGTCGCTAGTGTCGGGGCCTTTTTTTTTCTCCTCTCGTATGTTGTGCTGCGCATATCGGCAGCAATTTTCCAGCAAGATATTTGGGCTCTTCACTTGTTTCCAACTACTGAAATGGCACGACGTCATTTGATATACTGAAATATTTTTGATTTCATTGTGAAGAAATGACGTCGTAATTGCAGTGGTTGAAAACAAGTGAAAACCTAAGTATCTTTCTGGAATGATGGGGGACCTGAGAACGAGGTGTACACTTCTAAAGAGTGGCCCTTCTGTTTAATTTTTATCATGTGGTAAGACTCAACATACTATATGCAAATTTAAGTACATATTCTTGGATTCCAACCAACCTCCAGGGAATTATCAAATAATGTGGCTCGCCAACGCAGGCAACAATAGCGTAAAATATTCATTTGCATTGATTTAAACGTGGCAGCCTTGACGCAACATAAGCACCAAGAATATTTCATAAACAAATTCTAAATAGGCAGATTGCGCCAATAACACTGTCGTGGTCTTGTCGAATTTTTCACTGGTGGTTTAAAAAATTGTCTTTCGTTAAAGCGGTTTACAAGTTCTCAACCGATTTAGCCAATAATTTACTTAAACTAAGACCTCGTTTACATTGCACCGGATTGTTACCAAGGAAGGTTTAATTTTCTATGTGTTAAAAGTCGGTGATAAGGTCCAATATCAGAGACACAATTAAATAGATTGAATCTATCAACTCAATAAGAATTTAATCCAACCATTTACCCCCTTTAAAGCAAATGAAGATGTTGTGATGAGCAAATCCGTAATAGCGCAAACGCAGCTTAAATGAAAGAAGGCAACTGCGTGTCGGAAAAATATAGTGACGACTGTTTGCATTGAAAGACAGTTTAATAAATAAACACTCATATACAAACATTTTATGAGTAAACTGTTACAATTTGACTTACAGCTAAAATTATTCAACGTGGAATTACATCCCTCGTAATATTTATCATTTTTTTAACAGTTCATCATCGATTCACACATTATACAGGCATAGGCATAAAAACAATCGCGTCATCCTTAGCCAAAGTCTCCAGTCCTTACAAATAATGAAAACTAATGAAACAGATTGAGAAAAGGACAAAATGATAAGGATCTGGAACTTACATTAATGTGCTATTTCTGCACTGGTTTTCAGATGACATAATTTGTTGTGATTTGAGTAAGTTCCTTTGTGGCAAGTAATTAGTAAAATGCTGTTTTAGTTGGATGGAAGTGTTTCAAATCTGGTTTTTAAAAGAATTCGCCAATCGTATCATCCATAAAAACAAATTTATTGATAATCATGATTTTTGTATTCATACTGCAGAACAATGAAACACAACAAACTACGACAAAGTATGTCATGTGAAAACAAGTCCTATCGCATGTTTCTCTGTTGTGCATAAACATTGGATTCGTCTACAACAATTTGTGGGGTTCTTCAGTTTATCCTAAAGAGTCATGAAAAGTTTAGATCTTTCCGCTGATTCCGTAGATGAATAATCTGTTTTATTATCCTCAAGTCCATTAGCATCTCTCATAACAAACTCATGTGGCGTAATCATATTTTATATTTTCGTGTAAGTTTGTGTCCTTTGAAAATTAACGGGAAATTTCATCTTCATTTTTTGCCTAGAAAACAAGGCAAATTCGTCATATAAGCCTGACTCAAGGCGCCCAACAGAACCCATCCTATCCATCCAGGGGCGGATCCAGGCTGGTGCAACTGATGCGAGTGCATCAGTCATAAAATTAAATAGTTAATCTTTCACAACATATTATAACTTACAATCAATACGAGCAAAATG